AAATCTCTGGGTTCGAGTCTGACCTGTTGACCTTTGCTGAATGTCTTCTCCCCTCTCTCATAACCCACCTTTCTGTCAATATCTACTGTGAACTAAAGGCCAGTAGAGTCAAAAAATTCTTTAAAAAAAGGAGAACATTTTCTAAAAGAAACAGGTACGGATGTAAGTAATGTTATTGTGTTAAAGTAGACTTTTTTTTTTTTACTTTTTTTTTTTCCTCTACAGTGTCCATTAAAATTACCTGCAGATGGAAAATAATCCATTATAGACAATGACAACATTAGCGACTTCTTGCCAGTTGCTATTTTCCCTGAGAGAGGAAGACAGCTGTACCTTGAAGGGCCCCAAATCAAGTTCTGCTTGAGGGCCCTGAACAAGTTTGGGCCGGCCCTGGGCGCTGCTTTTGTGAAACTGGATTAATGATGGGTTAAATCAGGATAAACATACAATCCTGGTTTGATTATTGCCTCGGTTTAGTGAAGTATCCCCCCCCCTGGAGCCCAGTGGACCAGGCTGTCGGTGTGTTAACGGCCGTTAGTCGTCGGTTAGCCACCGTGAGCTCCGCGGGGAGGAGCTGTTTCTCACCGGGGGTTCTGACAGCACATAGCTCGGAAAGTTAAGGTGGTGCTCAGAGTCAATGAGGCTGTTCCGATGTACACCAATGAGCCATAGGCGACGGACAAACTAAAGCGCTACTTTAATACGTCAATCTAAAGCATTCTCGGGTTATTTTTGGGAGCTTTTTTCTACAGAGAAGGAGGCAGCGAGCAGCAACTACGCCCCGGGGCTGGTGAGTAACTCCGCTTTCAGGAAATGTCAGCCGAAAGAGCCAGGCTGGCTGGTAGCATCTGCCAGGAGTTAGCAAGACGCTGAAAACTTAAAACTTTACTCTGCTTGGTGTTTGCTTGATGGGAGCGTTAAAAATACCTTGTTTAACTTACTCCTGACTTTGAGGAGCATTTTCCACCTGCTGTGTCTCAGAGCTGTTAGCTATTACCGACACTAACAAGACGAGGTAAAGTTCCTCACTCATGCAGATGTCATTATTATTAGATATATTCCTGACTCTATAAGTTGGAAAGTTGACCTTTTAATCCAGAGTTCAGTTCAAAGTTGGGAGGAAAGGGGGTTATTTCATGTACATGAGGTCAGGTGACCCCTCAGTTGCAGCCACATGAGGACCAGCTGAGGATCATTAGGTTTTCTGCCTCTTTAAGTTAATTGATTGGGGATGACGGTGACTTTGTATGGAAATCGGTTTGAAATGCATCTTACAACCTGTTGCTGCTGATAAGTCCTCATATGGTGCTGCAATGTGGCACAACTTTTATAAAGATGCGTATCTGCTGATTCAAGATACTGTTTGCTTCATTTTGGCCCTTCTTTCTTTGTAGCTCAATAAATTACTCAGAAGTATATCTGGATTTTTTCCCCCATTCCCACTGCTTTGGACTGCTGCCCAGGGTGGGTCCTCCACTTTATCCTTGACAAACGATTAAAGCTTTTCTGGTTGGCAGAAACAGCCGCAAGGATCGCTCCCCCTGAAAGAGATAAAATGCATTAAGCTCAGACTTTCAAGATATGTGCTTTATTTAAAACTGTTTCAAGTAACTTCTGTTGCTTAAAATAGTTTAATTTAAAGAAGGCACCAGAGTTTATTCTGTGTTGCTATTTAAATGCCCTCACTCTGGCCTTTTCCAGGGAGGTCTGGTCTTCTGGTAGAACAGGGACTCACTTGTTGTCCATTTAAAAGGTTTTGTGAAACATGAGACTGTCGTAATCTTATTTCTTTCTGCTTCCAAGTTAGATTAACTCCCACGCTTTCTGAGCAATTAAAGCCTGTTTTGTAAAGTTAATATATTAGGGTTGTACGAAGGCTGTAGGCACTTACTTCGGATCAGGATTTATCATGTAGGACATTTCCACCTGTTTGTCATTAAACCAGTATCATGTTCCTTATTTGGAGAGTTTCCAGTCTGATGGAGACAGGAGAGCTTCTGAATAACAACAGAGAAACCTTGTCTAAATTTGTTGAAAGTGCTCTGCTCTCTTGCTCAACACAACGGAAGATGATGTTCTGGCTTCCTTTACACAACTGTGGTAGGACCTGGGAGTAGCGAGGTGAATTAGAAATGGTTCTGCAAGAGACTTGGTGTGTTAGACATACCACACACGACACACTCTGACTTGAACTTCCCTGTTCAGCTCATTAGCTTGGGTAAGATTAAGACATGTCAGAACTGTGCTAGTGCTCTGTAAGGAAACGTCTGATTAGGCAGATATAATCTTCAGAAATATGCTGACGCAATCTGTACTTCCAGCATTGTGGTTTTGTAATTCTGTGACCTGTTTTTGCTGAAATTAAACACCGGTATGAGTTTATTTTCAGGGGTTTAACTAAGGTTGACTGTCAGAAGAGGAAAAGTGTGTTTTTGTGCTCTAAGGTTGTGACTATTCTGTTTAAACGACACGGTTTTCAAATTTACTAGATTTTAATTTGTTTAAACAGGAGAAGCTCTTTGTGCCTTACCACACTCCAATACCAGAGCTCCAACTTGCTGTATCGCGTTCATGCAAAGGGACTACAGATGAAAACTAGCCTTTGTGGCTAACTCTGGCATATTATGTGATGTGCATTGTTCCTTTAGAAATAAACAAACAACCACAATATATAGGCTGTATTTCATGGAGTATAAGTCACTTTAATCAACAAAATACAACATGAAGAGGAAAAAATACACTGGAGTACAATCAGGGTGGTCAGGAACGACTGGCGAAGTGCGCAGCGGGGCAAAGCGGAGGTGCATGCAGTAAATCTGGGATGATAGAAAGGTAGTTGTGTTGTATGAAGTGGTAACTCCAAGAAAAATTATGAGTGATTTATGTATCGTCTCCTTGGCATCTACACCGTTTATGAGCCTCAACAGCTGTTTCAAAAGGTAGCTCCAACACATATAGCTATCTAGATGCACTGCAGTAGGAAAAGCTGATGACGTAGCACAAATTGTCAAAACATTAGCAGCACCTTCTTTATGTATCCAACTGTGGACCCGTTCCTCCAGCTCTGGCCATCTCAGCCGGTGATTAGTTTTCCTCATGGCTGCAGATGGTAATGTTTAATCCTTGGTTCATTTCCGTTGGAATTAATTAATATTTAATGCAAAAACACATCACGAAGAGTAAAAAAATACCCTGCATAGGTGGCTCCTGACTACAAGTTCAGAACCAGCAAAGCTATAAGAATAAAGTGTGACTTATAGTCTGGAAAATATGGTAATTGATTTTAAATTAAAATCAGATGTTTACATGATTTTTTTTCCCTTTGTGACATAAAATTAGGTTATTATTGTTCTATTTTTGGTCAGTTTGAATACTAAATTAATGAGACATCTTTATTACTTTCTTCAGATTCATAAGTTGACATAATCTTTATATTACTTAGCCTGTAAATATTTAATTTTGTTTAATGTTTTTGGTTGGGAATGTGAATATAAACCCCAGATGGTGGCTGTTTCCATTATTTAATAACACAAGTCCTCTTGGACTGAAGGCCACTCGGACAGGAAGAAGCCATTACTTTAAAAGGAACATAAAAAAGCTAAAATTGTCATTTGATCACCTTTGCTCCTATAAAAAGCAGACTAGACGTCAAACATAATTTACTATTTAACAGCTTTAAATACCTTTAATATTTTTATGTAATCTGTTTTGTTTTTTTTCTTTTACAGTTTTTGCAGACTATAAACTTGAAATCAACTTTCCTGGTTACCAGATATTTATTGCTACATGACGGATCTAGAGCCACCTTCTTTCTCACTAAAAGAAAAAAACTTTAACCCTAAACAAATGGAGTTTAAAGGTATAATTTGGGCTAAAGGCGGCACAGTTGCTGCGTCAAAGTAGTGGAAAGTTTGCAAAAACGTGTGATGCCTTCAGTTTATCAACTTCCTTATAACTGTAGCTTACTTAAATAGGTTAATATTTAAATATTATATTCTTGTTCATGTGACATGAGATGGCTTGTCTATTTTTCTTTCTGACCCACAGCAATGGCAGCGTTGAGCTGTTGCAGTGCTACAGTTTAGATCTTAAAATTGAGATCTAATTTTAAACTGTGTTCTGTATTCCAAAGAAGGTTTAATGCAGTTATTAAAATAGATCTAATTTTGACATTCTCCATTTAATGGGCTTCTGTTAAAATCGAATTAAGGGAATTAAAAATAGAAGCTAGTTTTATGCTTTGATTGCAGTTCTAACATCTTTTTTCATATTTAATCTGTAGGAAAAAATTACTAATTTAGGTATAAGCAGAAAAATTCATCCATCCATCCATTTCTTTACACCCTTGTCCCTTAGTGGGATCAGGAGGGGCTGGTGCCTATCTCCAGCTAACGTTCCGGGCGAGAGGCGGGGTCACCCTGGACAGGTCGCCAGTCTGTCGCAGGGCTAAGCAGAAAAAATTAACTCAAATTTTCAAGATTTGTTCTGCCAGTTGATTCTTCTCGAGTCACATCCCGAAGCTAAGATGTAACGACAGAAATCCCTGCAAGGTGTAAATAAAAGTTTACCCTGAGCATCTTGCCTGTGCGAGTCAAAACAAGACTTCAGTTCATGACTGCAGTTAGAAGTTGGACTGTAAACTCACCATTTTTGGTCAAATCTGTGTTTTCTTGCACCCGTTTACAGTCCACCACTTTTACCTTGACTGTAGATTTTAAACGAGCCTCTAATCAGCTTATGGGTTCAGATGAAAGGCTCAGTGGTGCATGCAGGGAAAGAATGCATGGCTTGTCTGAAATCCTGTCAACTAACTGATCATATGACACGTCTTTGCCTTCTTTGAACTTTTTCACCAGCAATTAAAGTGTTGCTAATAAAAATCTTGTACCCAGTAGATGAAACGAACTGGGTTTTTTACTGGCCATAATGTTTATAAAATTTGGACAATGAAATGCTTAGAAAGTGGATTTTTCCTGACAGAGGTTTTACTACATTTAGGCCAGATAGGTGGAATACTTATGAAGTAATGCAATGAAGCATCCTAATAATACGCCTTGTTTTAATGGAGTGGCATTAATGAGTCCTGGCCAAGAAAATTGCCATAGATCAGTGTAAAACATCAAGAGTAATTTCTTTCAGTAGTTCAGGCTAAATTTGGTGGTGATTTGCGTATTTTCCAGCAGCTAGAAGACCAAGACTGAAAGTAAAAGTGATAAAGGCTCAAGAAATCACAACATTAGTATTTTTGTTTTTATCCCAGGATTTCATATTAAAGTGGAAACTTTTCTGAGCTTTACATCATGATTTAATGTTACTGTCATCAAAAACATACCTGGAGTGTTGCTTTGGTTCTTTCAGGCATGTTTGAGAGATCCTTTAATCTCCATGGCAACCATTCAGCTGTGTAAAACGCCTGGATGGACCGAAGGTTTATCTCCTCCTCTTTTCTAGGTGAAGCTCCTCCTCAGAGGAGCTTCTGCCTCACGGAGCAGCCCTCTCCCTCTCAGCTCCTTCAGACTAGCCAGCAGCAATTAGCAAACACTTGGTGGAACTGCATATCTACTGAGCTCATAATACGAGCTACTTCTCAGAGTAACGCTGGTAATAATGTTTAAAGGGTTAATCAAGGAGCCATTTTGAGATGACCTCCTGAAGGTGGAGTTTCAGAAAGAGCAGGGTTTTTTTAAAGAGACAGAGGCCCAGTTTAAAGGCGTTAAATTAGGAAGTAAAATGTACTGAGTCATATATGATATATATATATATATATATATATATATATATATATATATAGCATTTTTATAACAACTGAACTCAACATAGTTACTTGATTATGCTATAAAATGGCACTAAGTGCCTGGAAGAAGTTTGTTTTTTTAGAGCTAAGATGAATTTGCTGTTTTCTAAATTTACGCACCATAAGTGAAAAGAGTTTACTTTTTGCCCATGATGTAGGTCCATAGGTATTGTGGCAACTATTTTCTGTTGTCATCAACAACCAAATGTTTATCTAAGAGGTGTGCATGCTTTATTTTACTTGGTGCACAGTGTTCTGGTCTGCAGTAAGTGGCTAACTGTAACACATTATGCGTTTTCAGTCTGCATGCTGATTAAAATCTATGAGCCTTGAAGCCCACACGCGATTTAGAGATGAGCAAGGAAACGTTGCATTAATCACTTCGTTTTGTTGCTGCAATAATTAACTGTGTTTCCTATCTGCTTCAATGTTTTCATAACGGTTTGCAACCCAAAAGTAAAGCGACACGCAAAAGGGATTTTCACCGAATCCTGTTGTAACGTTGTTCAATTTCACAACAACTCGGGTGAAGGGAGGCGGGTTGAATTGCAGGAAATGTGGCACAGAATTCAGTTTTCAACATCAGATTGTGCTTCACTGCTACTCAGCAGAACACGGCGTGTTTTTTATTGTTAGGAAAACTGACTAACTTCCTTCGGTTGAATGTCTGAAGCTTTTCTGATTGGATCAGTGCCGCTTTGATCAACTTTGCAGAATAAACACTTTCACTTGTAGGTCTTTAGAAGTTGCTAGAAGTTGTGTTGTTTCTTGCCTTTTTACTAAATCCTACTGTTGTGATGCATTATTTGTGTACTTCTAAATAAAATGCTGGCATAAATTGGTAAAGTTTTGGTCCAACAAAGCTGGATTTGGTTGTTACCTGAAGATGAGTAGCTTTATTTTTAACAAATCTGTCAATTTATTTTTCTTTTTTCTTATACAAAAATAAACTGACTTCACATCTGAGAACATGCCTAATTAGCCCATGAAAGGCCTAGATTTAACCAAAAAAATTTAAATATGATTTCTTAATTTCAGGATTTAACTCAAGCCAAATATCTTATTGCTTCAAGTCTGAATGTTAGTCTCTGTTTTTAAGCTTTAAAATGTCCTTGTACAGTAAGAAACAGGACTTTGGCTGAGTCAAATAACTTTTACAAGTCAATTACTTGTGTTTATTCTAAGCACTAAAAAGCAGACATTCTATTAAAATAGTTAAAATAATTTTGGGTCATAAGTTGGGCTTCACAGGTTTCAGTGTGAACTTAGGGCAGTAAAATATCCATGAATTAAAACAGATCTCTACTGTAAGTGACTTGAATCGTTTGTGGACGACCCTGGCAGTTTCATTTTTGAAAGATAAGTGACTCTTACATTTCGATGGTCTGGGCGAGTTAAGGGAGTTTCCATGCAAATATGAGCACAGGTCTGCATTCAGTCTTAATTTTGCTCATTTCAGGCTTCATCGTCTTGCTATTGGCAGCAAACTTCGATATACATTTTGGAGATTTTTCTGGTAAAATTTAGTTTTTGCTTTTTGTTCTCTGAAGGAAAAAAGTATCACATTTAAGATATAAATTATAACTTGATAAACTCTATTGTTAAAGAGTTTGTTTTAAAAGCCAGGAAGTAGTCAGTAAAGGTGATGTTTGCTCCATTTATTTGAATAAAAGACACAGAGGGGCATTTGTGTTACTGGTGACGGCATACTGGTACTCACTGTGGCATCATAAGCTGCCTTTTCCTTTTTAATCCCCCTTATTTCTTATAAATTTGCTCTTTTTTGCAACCAGTTGTTACTATAAAAGGGTGAACTTGTAGAGTGATGGTGACCTTTTAAACTTCTTAATTTACATAAACTTTATTACAAAAAGTATTTTGGGGCATACAGACTCAAAAAAATGCAATTTATTGAAGGAACAGCACCGTTGGAGTGCTAACTAAACCAAAACTGTACAAAAAACATATACATTTTGCATTTACAATAAAAAAAAAATATTTTTCTGAACTCAACAACTTTCTGCTTTTTACATGCTGATGTTGGAAGTATTTTATTTTTTTGCTTCCTTTGCTGCAAATAATCAAGCATACACTAAAGAAATGCCGTTATTGCATTTAGTCAATAAAATGTTTATTTTTCTGATTCAAAAAACAAATTTTATTTGTTTAATTTCATCTTGTAATGTTTTTCTAATATTGTATAAAAAGTCTTAAGGGGTCGAATAAAAAAATTCTGCAGAATGTGCCATTTTAAAAAAATCTGTTTAATAGTCAGAATAATCAAAATAATAAATTATTAAAGTAATCATTAGTTGCAGCCTTGGACTCCACCTGCATCATAAGTCAAGTCATACATTTCTTTGACTTTGTAATAATAACACCAACGATTTACTGTAGAATATTTGGTAGCAAAGTGGTGGGGAGCTTTATGTTGCCTTCAGGTTAGTTCAGGAATGGTTTGTAGAAAGAAAACTTATTGGTTTGGTTTCCACCAACATTCAGTCGCATGTCAGCCTTACATTTTCATGTGTATGCAAAGCAACAGCTGCAGTGGAGTTGAGCAACGTACTGCTGGACTGTAGGGTGGTGGAGATGTGTCTCTGGAAAGATGAATCATCCAAAACTAATCTGGGTTTGGCCGTTAGCAGCGCCTGCATTGTGTAAAGTTTGGTGGAGGGAGGATTACCTTGTGGGCTTGGCTCTTTGGTTGCATTGGAAGGAGTTTTTACTGCTGTGCTAAGCTGAGATATTTAGATAATTTATGCCCCCAACTTTGTGGGAATAGTTTGAGTTTGATCCTTTCCTTTTCCGACTTGACTGTGCTCCACTTCTCATTCATCAGTGTGTGACCCTCACATATGCTCTTCTTGAAGAATGCTCAGATATTTCCATAAGCGCATCTCTAAACCCTGTGGAGAGCCTTCCTGCCAGGGCTGGTGTAACTGGAAAGGCTGAACCCACTTCATATTAAGTCCTTTGGATTTAAAGGAGTGAGTATTTCTGCCAATGTAATGTCAGACTAATTATAATTATTCTGATTCCAACACTATAATACCCAGTTTATTGTAATATCTGAGAAATTGCCACAAGCAGAGCCGGGTGACTGATTTTACCATTCATTTTATTTTTGTTTTTTGAAGAATTAACTTTTGAAAAATTGGGATTTTATTTATTTCACCAATGAACTTGTTGGGTTTCCATCGTTCAGAGTGATGTCAGCGTTTGTATGGCGGCCATCTTGATTCACAAGATTCTGTTTATTTCGGTCCATTTTTATAATGGAATATTACAGCCAGGCTCAGATTGTTTATTTTATTTTTAGAATAAAGTCGTCATTTTATGAGAACATGAAAAATTCAAAATTCAAATGAGGAATGTTGAGCAAACTTTTATATACATTTTGGAGATTTTTCTGGTAAAATGTAGTCTTTTCTGTTAATATTATTATTGCTGTATTCTCACCCTGACGAACCGTTGTACAAAAACAGAATGGCTGAGTGAATTAAAAATCACTTTTTGAAAATATTTTATTCAGTTTCTTTTTTAGAAAAGAAAGTGAGCAAAATAAAAGATTAAAATCAGATTTGGTATGAAAAAAAATCAACTTTAAGCCATATTGGCATTAACCGCTGTTTATTCAGTGTTTTTACCCTTTGGTTGCGCTCTTTTCTCATGTTTCAGAAATTACGGACTCACCATGTCTGATGGGGAGTATGATTACCTCATCAAGTTCCTAGCGCTGGGTGACTCTGGTGTGGGAAAGACCAGCTTTCTGTACCAATACACAGATGGCAAGTTCAACAACAAGTTCATCACTACAGTGGGAATAGACTTCAGAGAACGGAGAGTGGTAAGAAATCATGATTTTGTGAAGATTTATACCATCATTCAGATTTTGGGCTCCACACCAGCATTTCTACATAACTGCCTGGTTTGGGGCTTAAATGCATTCCCATTATATTATGCAATACTTGTTTAGCACTTGACGATGTCGCTTCTGAAATATGACATATAATTAACAGCAGGCAACGCCCTCCTGAAGACTAAACACTTCAAACCATTGGCAAACAGCTGAGTCTGAGTCTGGTTTACAGTAGTCCTACTTTATAGGTGCTAACCTAAAACCCCTGAAGGAGATCTGGTTTTATCTGCATATACTTATTTGAAAAGCAATAATTGGCTTTTTGATCAGACTAAATCGATCTTTGTAGTTGTTAGGGTTGAAAGGATCAGTCATAATGATTTATGATTATTGATTAATTGTTCATTTGAGGATTCAGACTCCAAAAAAAGACAATTTGCTGAAAGAACAACACAGTTAGAGCAGTAATTACCCCAAAACTGTTAAAAAAATATGATTTACATTTAAGATGATTAAATGAAACCTTTGTGTGTAAATATGTTTTACGCAGAACAAATTAAGTGGCAAAGTTTTAGCTTCACTTTGTTCAAATTCTGTAAAGGAAATCTCATATTGAGCACCTTTTTTATCCCATTATTTATCAGTTAGTATAAAAAATGACCAACAAATCAGACCTACACTGTATTAAGTCCAGCAGAAAGGCCTGAGCTTCTCGTGTTGATCTGAGAAGTACTTTTTAGCTGCAGATGAATCCTTTGCTACAAATGATCAAGCACTCACTACAGCAATGCTATTTTGTTGCATTTTAGTCAATAAAATGTTTGTTTTTATTATTTAAAATTTTATATTTATTTTTTTCATATATCTATGTAATGTCTAATATTGCATAAAGGCTTATGTTGCTAAATGAAAAATCTGCAAAATGAGCAAACAAAAACATTCTGGAGTCAAGGTTCACCTTCCAGTCCATCTCCATCCAACCTTACTGAGCTCAAGTCGTGTTGCAAAGAAAAACAAAAGAAATTTCCATTTCCAGATTTGCGAAGTTAGTAGAAACAGACCCAAAAAGTCAGATACTTTATTAATTCACAGCTAAACTTTTGGTACATTCTCCTGGCTGCCATCAACAATCTGTGGCAGATAAATTCTATTTTATTTTATTTTGTTACCAATCTGATACACTTCATTCCGGTTTTGGAGTTTTCTTCTACAGATTTATGAAATATTAAATGTTTGACCTGGTGTGTTTCCATCAGATCTACAATTCAACAGGTCCAGATGGAACAACAGGCAGAGGACAGAAGATCCACCTGCAGCTGTGGGACACAGCAGGACAAGAGAGGTACAGCAGTCACCTTATGGCTCCTGTTTCTGAATTTAATCCTGACTGACATAATCTATTTCCACTGACGGTTTCTTCAGGTTCCGAAGTTTGACGACGGCTTTTTTCCGGGATGCGATGGGTTTCCTGCTCCTGTTTGATCTCACGAATGAACAAAGTTTCCTGAACGTCAGAAACTGGATGAGTGAGTCCTGAAGGGTTGAATGCTACTGAGGCATAACCGATACACATTTACATTTGGCATCATTATTACATCCGATTTATCTGGGTGATGCTACGAAGGCATAACCGATACACATTTACATTTGGTATCATTATTACATCCGATTTATCTGGGTGAACAGACAGTAATAACAAGAACAAACTCTGTGCAGCTCCTACAGTTCCAGCACATTGAATATAATTTATTGCTCTTGTTAAAGCTTCCTGGCTGGATGTTTCCCACAGGTCAGCTACAGATTCATGCGTACTGTGAAAATCCAGATGTGGTTCTGTGTGGCAACAAATGTGACCTGAGTGACCAGAGAGCTGTGACCCAAAACCAGGCCCGGGAACTGGCCGAGAAGTACGGGTACGTCCGCCTGGTTTCTGCTCCATCTGTGCACAAACCTCTCCCTCAAAAGTTTGTCAAGAAGGCAGTGGCTGCGTTGTTGACCCAGCTCTGCTCTGCAGACTGAGAGACGCAGCTGGTCCTCCTCGAAAAGCAAATATTTGCTTACATGTGTAAGATATCCTGGTCTCACGCCATTTGACACACCTTTACTGAAGTTCACCAAGCAGTAGTTCATAAATTATGTGAAGTTGCCACAAACTGAGGTGTTTTAAGTAAACGGATAATTAACTTTGATGCGATCTTTACTGAAAGGGAAAAACTTTTAAGCTTGACTCTTAAATGAGTGATGAGTAATTTATTTAAAAATGCTTAAAGAAACTTAAATATTCCTTGATTATCATAATTATAATTTGATTTACAAATACTAGAGCTCCATAATTTAAAAATCCCATTAAAAAGTATTTATGTTCTCTTTTTAGTTTATTTTTTTACATGTTTGCACTTAGCAACCACAAACTTCAATATATTTCATTGGGATTTATGTGACAGTAACAATTAACTTGAATACATGTAGGCCTGTTGCAACAACCAATCAACTGCATGATAAATTAAAAATAACTCAATCATTTTTATTCTGTTATTTTTTAAGGGCAAATTTGTTTCCCAAGACTTCATGGTTCATTTTTTTCATGGTGCAAGTAATTTTTTTCTCACAGTTTTATTTGTTTTTTGTTGTCCATGTTTTATTTTGGATATTTAAAGTTTTCTTTATAAAATTAAATTATTGGTTTTTAAAGGGGTGACTTACATTAATCTGCCACAGTCTCAAAACAATTACAATAATTTCTGGGACAATTTATTGTTCATCAAAATTTCCCATGACAGACCTAAATACAAGGTTTTTCATGATAATTTTTTGCTGATAAAACCTCTGATAGCTGCCATGCGTTTTAATTTGGCACTCTTTACTCTAATACACCTATAAAATGGAGTGTAACCAGTTGTCATTGGAAGTCTCCTAATCAGCAAACAGATTCCACGTGGGAGTAATTTAACCTCATTATAAACACAGCTGTTCTGTGAAAGCCTCAGACGTTTGTTGACATTAGTGAACAAATGGCATCACAAAGACCAAAGATCACACAACAGGTTGAGGTCACCCAAAAGATCAGGGATGCATTCACATCGGATCCGGAGACTAAAAGTAGCTCCCAGTGAATTTCTGGAATCCTGAGATTTTTCTCCGACTTTTACATCAGTAAAATAAAAGTTATTTGCAAAGCACCACAGGCGTTTTATGCAAAATCCACATTTTTCCATGTTTTTGGATCCATTTGGGTCTTAATTACTTGTAAAAACAAACCAAGTGCTTAGGGAAAAAACAAAAAACAAAAAAACACCTGAGGGTTTTTTGTAATAAGTTGCTTTTTGGTGTCTGGAAAATGAGCCGTTTCAAAAACCTCCTAACTGTTGAGTCACATTCAACAGGCATTGCACCGTTACCTAGCAACCCCAGCCACGCCCAGCCACGTTACCTAGCAACGTAACGGAACTTGAGAACATTTGGTCGGCTGGTTTAACTGCTCTATGCGCTGCATAATGGCTGGCAGAAAAGACTAGTGTTTTGTTTTAGACTTACCATCCAGAAACCACTTGCTGTATGTTGTTTGTGCTGGAGGCGATGCTGTGGGTAGATCCGTCACAATAACAAATGCTGCTGGACCATAAATTGTCCCAGAAGTTATTGCGATAAACATCAATGTTGTTGTTTTGACATTATTTTCAAGTAATGTAACGGTAATGGCATAATAATACAAGAACACATTCTCAAAAATCAATAAACTTTAAATTCTACTAAACATTTAACTCTGAAACTGGAAGCCATAATAAATATCCAAAGTAAATAAACAAAACAACTAATAAAATGAATTATGACGTCTCTGTAAACAAAAACAATCCTTCTAAAAAAAAAAGTGCTAATTGAGATAAAAACACCAGACTGAAGACTTTTCTCATCTAGTTTGTGGTAGAAAGAGAAAAGCAATAAATCATGGAAGTGGAAATTATTGAGCTCATTTTAATTTATCATTAGGATTAATTGATTTATTGCGACAGGCCTAGCTGTGGGAATATTTTTGAACAAGGAAGCCACAACGTATTGAGTCACAGCAGGGGAATAAAAATGCATGCAATGCAATTCTGATGCATCCATTTAATGACAACTACGCTCTATTCTGTTGGTCTGTCGCATAGAAACTCTACGAAATGATACTTTAACCCTTGGTTCAGTCTTCCTGTTGATGAAAAGTTTTTAATAATGTACTAAAAACATATATTTTATTTCTGACAAATGACTGTAGACCTTATAATAACCGTTAAACCTGGATTCTTTTAAGATGCTTAACTAATTAACAAAATGGCATGGTTGCATTACCTGAGTAAAAACCATTGCACCTCTCTACAGAATCCCATACTTTGAGACCAGTGCTGCAAGCGGGCAGAATGTCAGCGAGGCCGTCGACGTTCTGCTGGATCTGATCATGAAGAGGATGGAAAGGTGCGTCGACAAGTCCTGGATCCCGGACGGGACCGTGCGGCCCAACGGAGCCGCCAACCCGGATCTCTCTGAGGGGTCCGATAGAGGCAAATGTGCATGTTAGAAGGATTATTTTTTTGTTTTTGTTGTTGTTGTTGCACATCTTTTTCATTATAAATCAGGTGGGGGAGAAAAGGAAGATTTCCAAGTAAAACAAAGTGGGAGTTTTATTACATTTTGTGTTGAGTAAAACTTTAACACCAACATTATCCAACCACTTTTACCCACAATCCAGAGTGTTACATGTTCACCATCACTGACACGCTGAGTCAGCAGTAGTCAGTGTACCTTTTCCTCAATACATCAATCTTACTATTGAGTGTGGGGTATTTATTTTCCTTTGTAACTCCTACTGTACATCTCCAGTTTCCATATTAAGTTAGAGAAACGAATCCTAGATTCAGATAGTTAAAGAACACTGAGCCTATATGTTACTTGTGCTGATATGTTGTCAGGACTCCTCAACTGCTGTACAGCGAAAAAATGCAATGAATGTACTTCAGGTCACCGATTATGTGTCACTGATGCTTCACTGAGTGCCTTGTTGATCACTGCAGTCTCACTAGTGCCACTGCCAGAGAACATGTAGCTCTTATTGTCTTCCAGCGTTTGCTTGGTGGACAGTCGACATGGTTATTTAGTCTGAACTTTGATATAAGTGCAGGTTTTGCCAAAAGTTAGAAAAACGACTTTGTAATATTTAGATAATCTAAACAAGTTATTTAATAAAACTATAGGAAACCAGAATTCAAGAAATATTTTTGCCAACATTATTTTTTTTCTGCATAAAATACTAGCTTATAGGCTCTCTTTATTTGATTTAATTCAGTTCTGTGCAAAAAATTTGTGACAAATTATGTTGAAATGTAATATAAAATGGTGAAATTGGGATTAATTGAGCACTAAAATAAAAGTATTGTACCCAGGATCCAGTTTGGAGATCAGTGGTCTTCACTGGTTTATTAGGCCTGTACTGCAAACTATTTCTACATAATGTCATTATGCTTTTATTTTGAAAGTCTGTTTGGCTTCATCAGCTGAAGTCTTCAAATCCAACATTTTTAGTCTCCAGAAATTCATTTGTGTTATTTAATCCGAAATGACAAATTCAAGATTTAGTTTGAGATTAAACTTGCATAATTATAGCCGTTAAGCAAAAAACAATATATTTAATTAATGTCCCTGTTATTTCACAATATATTACAAAAGTATGTTGTCCATTGGTGCAAAACAAAAGGAGATCTGAGGACATAAAAATGCTTAAGAAGTAAATTAAAGATAATTAAATGGTTGATATAGGATATAAATAAGTGGTTAGGTGTGGCTGTTTTTCTTGGTGGTGATATGATGCTTTTCTGAAATTCATTATTATTCTAGATAGTCCTGGTAGAGCGCATCTGCCACGTGCCAAATCAGAGTTTTTCCTAATAAAATCTATTTTGCCGCTATATTAAGTCTGTATTTTCTGGGTTGCTTGTTTCTTGAAACCCAATAAGCTGAGCTTGTTCTGTTGGCACGTTTTATAAATGAGCCCATCAGAACATCACTGCATGATTTCTAAAGACCTTCTGCATGTTGAACTTTTGTTATTCAACAAATCTCATAAAACACTGGAATGATGTCTTTTATAGTTTCCCCACACACACTTTACATATGTTACACTTTATTTAGTATGTCTAAAAGTGTTTTTAGACTATTATATAATCTTCTTTCTGTGCACAGATTTAAATATTTGAATGTTTTTCCTCCATTAGTGGGTTTGATCTTATTAGGATACATCATGCTGTCACATGTGCCATGCTTTCATATTAAAATGTGTATATTAAGACTGAAATAAACATTTGTATTTATGTAAAATTGTGACTCATTTCTTTATTTAATGTGCTCAGTTTTAAGACAGGGATGTAATGAGACAAAATTACATCCCTCCATGAATAGGTCACATGTTTGAGAAGAACATGCAAACTTTACATTTTAAGTCCCTAATTGAGATTAGAACTAGCTGCAGTGTAATAAATAATGCATAAATATTACTGTAAACTACTTGGTCAATTCAGGTAATATCTAAAGTGCTGTGTCTTACTTTAAACAAAAGAAAGAAAGGATGCAACATTTTATGAATTGTGGAGTGGCCATTTTAATCCAGAAGAACATTTGAGGAAAAACAAAAATAATGCAGAGGAACTACAGAAGTTGGACAACTTTTTGCAACCCTGATGTGATGTTCTTAATGGAAATGGTTGTAAAACTAAACATTAAGTTATTCACAGGAAAGATACATTTTCAAGCATTTTTCAGTTTTTAAGTACATGTTTTTTAATAGGCAAATACCACCTTTCACCATTTTCTGCATAGAGAAATACAATGATGGAAAAATACTTAATGTTTTGATCTGTAATTGAAAATTTTTCTAATATGAAAGTTAAATTTGCAAGTTTGAGACTGACCCTGTTTTGTATTATATTTTAAATATAAAACTTGTATTGTTTAGAATGTTTTAATTAGATTCACACATTTCAGAACAACATTATGTGGTAATAAATAACGACTGTGGACAGATAGCCCAGGATAATACAACCGGAGCGGGAACATTATGAGTTTTAACCGTTGTGAGCTGCAGCTGAAGCACGCCTGTATCTCCAGTACAGCCCGGCAGGGGGCGGCATATCTGCTCCACCATTGACTTGCTGCACTATTTGATCCCGAGAAGAAGAATTCCAAGCGAACCCAAACACTGCGGTGGAGTTGAGTTTAAAAGGTATCTGAAATGTTCCTGAAATGCTTAATACAATATTTATGAGACAGTTTTAGTAAGTCGTACGTAGATATAATGTGTTAGAAGTAAAGCTCGGTAGTGAGCTGAAGTTACAAGCGTATTTATTGCTGCAATTTATGTCTTTCTCATTGTTAGCCTAGCTGAAGTTACAAGGTAAAAAGAAAATAGAGGAACTTTGAAATAAATTAATTTAAAACACACAGATTTTGGTTTTAGTGTGTTTTATATCTGTAAAATGGTACTTGTTTTATTTATCATATAGTAAAACGGTGAGTATTGTTACTACGGCCAAATATTATCACATTATGTAATCCGAATATTAACTAATAAGGTGGACTTGTTTTCCAAGTAAAATGTAACCTGTGAGTAGAGCTTCAATATCAAATATGATTTTAAAAGCAAAATTATCCTAAAACATACAAATGTGCTGTTGTAGTCTCCTTGAGAATATTATTCCTTTGTAACTATTTTACAAGGACAATCTTAGAAGTTGTTTGGCGATGATACAGCAAACAACTTCTAAGATTTTAAAAAATCTGGGTGCACAAGTTTAAATTTAACCCTAATTTTCTCTAATCCACATTTAAAACTATCCTTACAGACTCAGTTATACATATGTAATCCCTGAATGTTTACAGGTTGTTGTATAAGCAAGTTTTATTAAAGTTAATCAGTTTCATATTTGGAAACCAGATTGGATGTGTTCAGCTCCCAAACTTGTTGGAACACCCAAACGTATCAAAGTTTCACTCATTTGACCCAAACTGTTCCCTTTAATGAAAACAAATTCATCAGGATTTTCATAAATCATCGCAATTCAGCTGGATTATAAACTGGGAGATACTGGAACACCGGGGCCCACGCTTACTCATGAATTAAATCCAAGTACCTAAAACATAAATCTAAAACCTGGTTTGAGATTCCTGTTGTCAAATTTGATTAAAACTTTCATTGGGAAACTAACTTTTATCTTAAAAAATAATTTGAATTTTTAAAAATCGTAAGAAAAACATTTATGTAGATGAAAAGATTTGAGTCTGATATTCATTCAGTGAGGAACCACATTTTGTACAATAACATTTTTTATCTGTAAAGTTAATTCCTGCATGAATATTTAGTTGGCTTACTGATGACCTCTGTGTTTGCCCTTCCAGGATGCCTTTCCATTTTTGCCCACAATGTGGGATGAAGCTACAGCCTGATTTCAGATTCTGCCCATCGTGTGGAGACAAACTTCCCAGCTCTCCTGATGAAGCTGGACTCAAGATTTCAGCTGTTTCTTTAAAGGACGAAACAAAAACAACTGAAACTAACTCAAGCCCTCCTCCGACTTTGACCTGTGAGCCAACAGTTGTTTGCAAAACCCGTCAGTGTTGTCTGTAAATGTAAGTTTTTAGGATTGTAAATGTGTTCATTCTGCAGCCCCGGGCCGTAAAACTCCATCTCCACTTTCACCTCGATCTTCTCTGAGAAGGACCCGTAAAACCCTGGAGCAGGAAACTCCTGCCAAACCCGCAGAGCCTTCATCATCTCCAGTCAAAAATGACAAGACTAAAGGTAAAAAAATATATAGAAAAATGGTAAGAAATGAAAGAGAAATTATAGTTTTAGCTGCACTTTCTGACCAGGAGGAGGAGAGAGTGAGAGTTTGTGGTCCTGAACCTGAACATTCATGGTTTGTTTTAGCAGTTCAGGGTGTTGGGAGTGAAACATCTGATAAAAAGAAGCAAATTGGCACAGTCAAAGCTAAACCAGAGGCAATACCAACCTCAGAAGCCGGATCACCTCCTGCTGTGAAATCTCCTCGACAGGGTGAGCTAAAAAAAAAAAAAGTCTGCTTAATTTATCTATTTATACACAGAGTACAGTTAAATATGTTAATTATTTATCACATTACTACCTCGAATTTCAGAAGCACAGAATTTTAAAGTGAAAGGAAAATTATGGCTTTCAAAATGTAAAATAGAAAAATTGTGATGTGCCTGGTCGTTAAAACCCCTTTACTTTTATAGCCCTAAATAAAATCCAGTGACATCAGCTGCTTTTTAAAGAGACATCATGTGTGTAATTTAAAATTATTATAAATCCAGCTGTCATTAGTGGACAATCAGCACTTAATGGAGCTCTATGAACTCAGTAGACAGGTAAGGGACAAAGTAGTGGAGAAGTTTAAAGCAGAGTTGCGTTATAAAGCACAAGTGGATAAAATAAGTTTGCACAATTACAATGCCATTGCTGCAGTAAAATGTAAACTCTGAGATATTAATGGAGATACATCAGACTGCTTGTAAATGTTTATGAAAAATAGGTCACAGTTATTCTCTCTTGTGCGTTGCTCCATCACATAAAATCTCCACATTAAACTTTAAACTTTGTGGCTATAAAATAACAAATAAAACTGTGCAGTGTTGCAGATGGTTAATAGAACGTTCAAATTTTCTTCATTTTTCCAGTCAGGGGAAAAGGGAAACTTTCGAGCCCCGTTAAAGATGAAGCAGCAGCAGCAGTGGGAAGGATCGCATCTGATGAAACGGCAACAGAGGAATCAAAGACGGAGCGCTCTGTTTCCTTCAAGTTTCTATCGAAGAGTAAGCTGCACTTATTCACTTAATTACTTATTCACTTATTCCTTCCAAGCTTTATAATTATTCATGTTTTATGTACATCTATAAACAGCAGTAACAGGAGGGTGGAGCAAATCAAAGAAGGCGAAGCACGCGTCCTCGCCGGAGCCGCTGCCGGAAGGGGAGCAGCTTACCGATCAGTTGGGCAAGACGTGGAAACTGATCAAGCTGATTGATCAGAACATGATAGAACTCCTGTACGAAGGTGAAATAATGTGATGTTAAAGAAAAAGGTATCAGTAGTTGAATAGTGTCTTTTTTTGCAGCCACATTTGTTGCCTTCCTTTGTAAAGATTTATACAAAACCTTAGAGTAAATTAATCTTCTATTGGAGTTGAATAATTTCAAATTCTCAAATCTAAAAAAGCAATCCAGCTTTTACTTTGAGTACATCTATTTAGTGCATTAGGGAATTGTTATGTTTGACAGAATTAATGTTTCTCTTCAGCTCATTGTGCTACTATTTATACAGGAGAGATGGCAACCTGTCCATTGAACCATTTTTTCCTCCGCTATTTTATTTTTATGTAAAATTATTTCAAAGAGTTTGTAATGTCATGTGGATAAGCAGTTTCTACAGA